GTTTGTGTCTCAATTCTTGCATCTTATTGTCCATCGAGTTGTTGTTGTTTTGCTTTCCATTCAAATCACTCTTCTTTGCGGCCGTTTTGCCGTAGAAGTGGTTCGCGATTTCAGACACTTTATGATCGCTATTGGGATCCAATTTGAAGTGTTTTTGTTTGACTTTTGCGCTCAGATTCGCTTTGTCTGCCATCCGTTGCTTCTTCTGGTTCTGCATTGACTCCATTATCTCGTCGTTGCCCTCGAAGTAGATCTTCGGAGGAATCAAATCAATGAGCGATGAAAAGTATGTGTCGTTTTCGATAATATTCTTCATAAGACTGGTCTCCGAAATCTCATTCAACGGTTTACCACTTTTGACTCCTGTCTTATCAGCGGATCCGTTAGTGTGGCCATCGATTTGGCCATTCATGTGATGGTCTTCGGGATTGTCTTGTGTGAGGACATCCGTGTGGACATCGTTTTGGACAACTTCTTCATCGGAATCCACTTTATTGTCGTCAATACTCTCTTCGACGGCTGCTTTGGGCCTGTTTTTGATGACACCCTTTGACTGTCTCCTGAGTTTGACTCGCATTTTGGGATCAATTAAGTGATGATCACATGAATGGCAATCAAAATATGTTTAAAACTCATTCAAAACTCATAAACACATCGAAAGCACGCGTTTTCACACAAATGCACACAAATTACGTCAACTTTTGCTATAAATTAACTTTAATTTTATTCTTTAAACGAAAAGTTTTACATAAAGTTATTATTAAAATTAATTTAATTATTAAACATATTTCTAAACCATTTGATACATACCTTATAATGGGAGGCGTGGGGTATATAAAAGTTTCAAACACCCCCTTCTTCTGTACATCAAGTTTTATAAAGAGATTCACAAATATTTAATAATAAATTAAATTAAATTTATTGACTCTTATTATACTCTCTTATTGTACACGCAATCCATTGAATGATTTAATTGTTTATTGAATTAAAAGTTTTTAAAAAGTTTTTTATTGAGGGAAAAGATCAAAGAATAGGTTATGCGGTTCTGATGGCATTGTTGGTCACGTCTCGGATCCACTCGAGAGTATACCTGACATCGCCGAAGACACTGGGCTTACCGGTGGCGCAGCCCTCCGATGACTGCCACGAATACACGCCATACAAATACATGCGGCCCTCGAAGTACGCCATGAGTGGCGCTCCAGTGTCTCCCAAACACATGTCTTTGTTTTCATCGGTGGCGCAAACCATTGAATCGGTTACTGAATAGCGATAGGTTTGACTGCATTCGGATCTTTTCGACAGATGTAATGTCACTTTTCTTAAGACAGTACTTCCGGAGCTATAGGTGGACGTTCGGCCCCAACCGGCGCCCGTTAAGGCCGTGCCAACGCTGTACGGGGTGTCAGTTCTGGGCAAACATATGGGTCTCTGTGTCGGGTAAGAGCCATCTGCGGCCGGTTTGAGCTCTAATAGCGCAAAGTCGTTGTCCTGAGGGGTATTGTAGCCGAACTTTGGGTGAAATATAATTTGATTCACTCTAAAGACACGCTTTGAAGACTCAGATTTGGTGACATCGTGTGCGCCAATAAGTACTTTGATATCGGGTTGACTATCGCTTGAATCGTATAGTTGTTTCAGTCTTTGAGCTGAAGTTAAGACAACATTACCGGAGATTAGAGAACCGGTTCCTATAAGCTGTCCATTATATGCGAGTGCGACCTGAGATTCAAATTAAATTTATAAATACTTCGCAAAAATACTTATAATTGGTTCAAAGGACGCGATCTTACAATCCATGGGAACTCTTGCGGCTTTGTTTCAGTTCCGCCGACAACTCGTTTCGATAGACGAAGATTAGGTACACCACAGGTATCGTAATTCGGTTGAATGGGAGGGTCGAGTCCGGTCTGGCCTGTCGTCTCGTTGACGGCCAGACAATAGGTCGCGTCTTTGGTATTGTCTTCAATCCATTTCAGATATGATGTAATTCTTGTATAAACTCCGGGATAGTTCTCANGAGAATAACAGTAATCATTACAAAAGTAATTTCAATTTGCAATAAATTTTAGTATAAATTTAAAGTAATTCAATAGAAATCTGTTGTAAGGGATGAAAATATAAATCAATAATATGATAGTATTATATGTACTAAATCGCACCCATTCTACAGTACATCCAAGAAATATTGAACATTAGTTGTCATACAAAACGAATTATTAATATAAATCTTATAAGTTTTTATACATACACATTGATATATCGACCGAGAACAAATAATAAATAAATAAAAACTAATCTAGTTTATATAAAAAATAAATAAATACATAACGGTAATACAATTATATCAAATTTTTATTAATTACAATAAAATATACATGTTAATATTTTAATTAAATACTATTGTATAGTTAAGTTCATTAGGACAGTAGTACCAAGATTGTTCAATTAATCATTGTAAAACAATCAGGATCTATTTGTAATTAATAATATTAGATTTTAAAATTGTCACAAAACATATTTGCCTTAACTATAAAAAATCATTGTTTGTTACAAATATTGTGTAGTAAAGTGTTAAACAATTAAATGCAGTCATAGAATGGGATCCATAGACAACATATTTTTAGTGTTTTTAACACTAATTCTTATATGTTTTTCACTAATAAATGCACAGAATGTAAAGAATTCAAGCATCGAAACGATTAATGTCTTACTAAACGATCTTGGTAATGGACAAATCATTGAAAGTCCTGGATTTCCCACTAAGCCCTATCCCAAAGACTATAAAGTTAATTATGAAATTAAGGTAAATATAAACAATTTATAATACTGTTTGTGTAATTATTATATTTATATAAACATTAATTTTAGGTAAATCTAAGCGAAAGAATCCAACAGTTATCGAGTCGACTGAGACTTACGTTAGAATACGTTGCGATCGACCCGTCAGACCACTGCAAAGACACTAATTTACAAATAATATTTCCTAAGGGAGAGCTGAGAACGTAATGAAATCATTATTTGCCTGACATTTATGTGAAATTTCATTTTTTAGTGTCTCTAAATGTATTTTTATGTAATATTTTACATAGTTTTTGTGGACTACACGCCGGAAAAACAATGGTTTCCGACTCGGGTTCGGCCAGAATTGAGTTTAGGGGCAATTCTTTAGGTCAGGACAGGGGCTACAAAATACGGGCCGAAATTGTTTCGTCTAAATGTTCGCAAAAATTCGTGAATCAAAGCGAAGGTATTATACAAACACCAAATTATCCCAAGAATTATGGCAATGAAGACACTTGTGTTTGGGATATTGAGGTCCCGAAAGGCAAATACGTTAAATTGGATTTCGACGACACGTTTGCCATCAATGCTGCCAATGATATTTGTGCCGAAGACTATCTGCTTGTCAGCCAAAGCGGCGACTTTGATACTGATGTTCAGAGGTTTGACCAGTTTTTACTATTTATTTTTGTCACAAAATTTATTTACAAAAATTCTACCGTAGATTAAGTGTTATGTTTAGTTAACAAAAGTGAGTAAAAATATCAGAATTATATATTCAGAATTTTTATATTCAACAAATATATTTTTATAAATTGTAATTAATATCAAAAACAGTCTTGTTAGTATAACTTTTCTTTTTCTATTCAATAAAACAAATGTGGTTTTAAAAACAAACTATAAATTTAAAATCTTAAAATATTATTAAAAACATTTGATAGATGTATTGATTTTTATTATCACATTATTCAATACTATTGTTTTGCATTTCATTTGCACAACACTTAGCATGTGTTGGAATTTTTAATAAATTGAACATTTTTAATTATAAAATAGATTTTTCAAAAATAAGTTACATTTTACGTAAAAACAATGTGTTTGAGAATCCTGTGGTTCAGGATTAATGAATACATGTGTATCATATTTATGTGTTATATTAATTAATTTTAGGCACTGGTGTGTCATTTGTTAAGTCAAATATTAATTACCGTAATATTTCATAACAGGTTTTGCGGTAATCAAAAGCCAGACGTTATAATATCGGACTCAAACAGAATGCTTATTAAATTCAACTCAAATTCTGTAAACACTGGCAAAGGATTTCGGGCTAAGTTTGTTGAACACAACAGACCAGAGGCCGCGCCCGCGAGACTACCAGAACTCACACCCGAAGGCTGTCGTATGTGTTATAACTTATATAAACTTTTATATGCATTGAATTTTATGCAAAATAATATATTTAAAAATATTGATTGTATGTAAAGCTTGCGGCAAAGAAAATCTGCGAATTGTTAAACGAATAGTTGGCGGCAAAGAAGTAGATCCGGCGCATCGATATCCATGGATGGTCTCCGTTGGATCCATTCGTGGGTCTCCTTTCTGTGGCGGCGCTCTTATCAATAATTTGTTAGTAGTTATCATATAATAGTTGACAAATCATTATTATTTAAAAATCTTAATTACAATTCAGTTATGTATTGACTGCCGCCCACTGTGTGTACGACGAGGTGCCCGAAAGTATTGGCGTCCGAATCGGTCAGCACAGCCTTCAGGAGTCGACACCCATATTAAAGATCACCAAAATTACGGTAAACGACAAATACAACTCCGTGTCCCAGAAGGACGACATCGCACTCCTCCGACTCGCCCAACCCATCAAATACAC